TCCGAAACTATAGACAGTAGAGACACCAAACCTTCACTAATGTCTTAAGGGTCTTTAGGCCTAACTTCACTGTATAAGTGTGACAGAATCTGATGACCCCTTATATGAGTTATTGCCCTTTAACTTCTTTGTCCTTACTATTAAACCTGATAACTTGAAAACTTTAAGTCGTAGAAGCATGGGGTCAATTGCATTGTGACTCTTGACCTTTGTCCTTAAACATTTTGAAGGTCAAAGGTCAAGGTCATTCCATTTTTTTTAAATTTCATTTTTTCTACGCTCTAAGACATTTTTTGTTTCTTTTTCAGGGAATTTAATTTTAAGAAGTCAGATATAAAACAAATTTGAAATTCAAAGAAGGTGGAAAGACCTCTTATTGTTCTGTGAACAATAAGTCTCCTAGTTGTTTTTATTTTGTTTATTTGTTTTCAGTTTTTTTCTCCTGCTTCTCAGGAAATTCTGGGCTGGATTCTTTTGACTGAGATGTGAACCCCTCTCCCCACTCCCGAAAAAAAAATTCTGGATCTGCACCAGTATTGGCAGTAACTGAATGTCACATCGACAACGGGAGATAACTTCCCAAGTCGTCTAGTGTGGCATGCGATGATCTTTGACCCTTTTTGAACTTTAACCTAATCGTTTGGGTTTATTTTACCCCCACTATACTTAAACTTGTACTTACCGATTGTCATAGGTCTTGTCAACTTCATGAAATATAATCTAATTATAACACATTTAATGAATTAATCCAATGCACACCAGAATGCAGCATGTGCTGTTGCTGTACCATTCGGCAAATCTTCGTCGATTCCGTCACCTTATCAGATGAAGTGGGAATCGGCCGAGGTGTACCGAATGGTGTTTAATCTAAAAATATGATAATATGGGTGACGCAACCCAATGTGATGTAGAAATTTTTCAAAAGGTGTTTACATGTTAACATGTATAGTCAAAGAACAAATTTTAAATTAATTCATAACAAACGATGTTTTAACAAAACTTCTCCATCTAGCCTATTCCAAAAAAAGTATGTGCTGTGTGTTTGTGATGTCGAGGGGGGGGGGGGTTAGTAAATTTAAAAAAGGTCCTATTATGAGCAAAACATTTATCAAAATATGATTTACATCATTAATTAAATTCAAACTGATAATGAATTAAGCATGTAAAATACATATAAGAGGTTGAGAGTAATAGGTCACAGGGTCTGAGAATTTCATACTCAATTTGATGAATACATGTTCAGTGTAAATTATAGAATTATTTTGACTTTTTCCATGGAAAGCTGCCCATTATGTAGGAGTGTGTATTTAGAGGCAAACACATTAGTGCGGGTATTACTGTCTCATAACAGCATCTAGTTTTCAATAGAAGTACAATAAAGAAAATGCCTGAATGAAGCTACATGAGTAGGCGTTATTGCCCTTGTCAACATTTTTTTTAAAGAGTGAATAATTGATCAAATAAAGGAAATATGCATTTCTGAAAATCATTTTTCCAAAATGTATTGTTCTGTTGGGTATAAATTTAATTTATTTTTGCAAAAACCTATGACATCACAGGAGGATTAATTTCCTTAACTCTTTGAAAATTAATCGAGTTGATTTCATGATAATTCTACTGGAATGTAAATTTAACCAAGCGAAAGATCAGGAACCAAGGGCTTTGTATGCATGCAAATGCCCTGGCATACCCAATAACCTAGACAGTGATTCTTTGAATAAATAAAAAAAAAGCGTGTTGAAACTGGTTGATTGCTCGTCGATGTCCACTTCACGCCTGACCAGCACCTTATATATCGTGACCTAACAACTACTTTTCATTATACTTGCGCATGCCGAAATAGTTCAAACAATACAACTAATAGAAATTAATAAATTCTTTCCTTCAAAAGTTTTATTGTTAACAAGACGCTGAAGTAAATTGTTATCTCTCAAAGTTTTACGTTATTATTATGTACTTATAATTTTATTGTTTTAAAGGAAAAAATATCCTATGATATGTGGTAAATTAAAGAACTATATCTTGTTCTTCCTTGTAAAATGTTTGTGATTTTTGTTGACGAGTTTAATCAATTATTACATTATTTTTCTCTCAGTATACTGTTGAAAAATGTATTTGATACTATCATCAACACCATTAGGCAGATAAAGGTACATTTTGTATATGTGCCTAAACATTTATCATCGAACAATTTTCGTTCTCATAACGTTCATACAACACTGTCATTTTTTGTTTTCACCTTGCATAGGCCTATTACCTTATGCTTTACTTCAGGTTTGTTATAACTGCACTCAAATAATTTTATATATTTTATCCTGATTTAACGTAAATTACCTGTAAATTATCTAACGAATAAATTACCTTTTACCTTTTGATCTAGATCCTGCTGGTTTATATTTTGACACTGATGAAACTGGATCCTATTGATGCCTGTTTTGTGGGCGAATGCAAATGCGCTTCTTCGACTTGGTATGTCATCCTTTTTTTAAAAAAGTGATTTATTTTAGAAAAAGAAAATTCTAGAGTAATTTAGTCCAGTTAGGAACATCCCAGAAAATTTTACCGGAAAGGAATTTGAATTTTCCCTTCTTTGTTCTTTCAGTATGCTGCTTATCGCAAGCTTAATGGGAGTACTTGAAAAACATATCGTCTTAAATCAATACATGTTGGTTATCCTTCTTGGAAGGGATGTGATTAATATAGTTTTTTTTTAATTTTGAGTCTGATGAATTTTACTTCATGTATCACCTAATCAACCAAGCCTGACACAAAATACCCTTCCCTAAGGTATAAAGGATTCAATTTGTTCAAATGAAACTTTATAATCTGCGTGGCAATGATCAGACATACTCCTTGGTTTTATTCTTCAGAGGAACCATTAAATATCCCAAATCGTTGACTTCTTCTGAATATTTGATTTAGAACCACTTTATAAAGTGATATCTAAATGATCGCAATTTCGCCATAAAACGTTTAATATTCCAGTAGGAAAAGTGTTTAATGCTCTTTAAGTGTCAGAGAGAGAGAGAGAGAGAGAGAGAGAGAGAGAGCATTCGCTATACAGAAAAAGTGTTGACTTCTCTGTTATTGTTTTAATGCTTATCTTATGTTATTTTTAATCTACTATCACAAACAAGTCTCAAATTATTGTTTAAATCTGTTATTGGTAACATGCCTGAATGTTAACTATTTTTCGAGCAGAAATTCTCAGTGCACCTCACACATAGCGCAATAATTACGAAACAAAACCATACGTGAAGTATACAGACTGGTGAAAACACTCCAACTTAATTGAGCTTCAAAAGATAATGCAGCGAGTTTTTGTTGTGATGTGAAATGCGGATACAAAAGCCAGAGATAATGAAAAGTAGATTGTTTGTTTTTATCCATTGGAAGTATTCATTATTTACGAAAAATTGTAAAAAAAAAAAAAAAAAAAAAAAAAAACAATAAAAATGTAAAGCTTTGCATGATTTTAACTTGTTAAATGCGTTTGACATAAGCATCTAATCAATGAGGAATGTTTACTTTTTATTCCTGCAAAAGTACCATCAAAGCAGTCAGCTGTTTTTTTTAATCAATTATCGATAATTGCTTGTAAAATTTCGTTTATACTTCTATAAATTAACAGATTTATGAAAAGAGATATTATGAAAATAAAAATCTTTGGTCTGAAGCATAGCCTATTACCCTATCTTACTGATCAAAACCGTAATTAATAAAATCTCTTTTAATATTTTTTTTTCTCAGACCATGCTCTGCTGCATAAGATAAAACAGGATATTTTTTAAATTGCCAATTATTTCTCAATAATGACAAGATTCACACGGACACTGTTTTATGGACTTTGATATTGAATACTGTTCGTCATCTCCATCTCCTCCATGTATTGAATCGATTTCTACAAGTCTTACTTGTTAAACAGTATAGATCAATAGATATACATAACAATATTAGCAGTTATCTCGCGTACTTCCTCTTTTCTGAAACAGCCACAAGTATTAAGTATAGAAGTTCATAAAACTTTGTCATCCAATATCAATTTTTTTTTGTATTCCATGTCAGGCTGTCGACCTGTAAAATTGTTGTTCAGAAGTTTAAAAAAATTGTGTAGTTATTTTACATGTATCCTTGGTTTTTTTTATTCTAAATCATTTTAATAAAAGTGTATAATGCATATAATGAAAATTGTTGCATGAAAATATTTAATTTTCAAGCTTCATTTAAAGACTTTTTGAATTTAATAATAAATTAAAGAGTTATCCTTCCTGGCTGAGGGTCGGATTCCCTTAAAAGATAACTGCAGGATATTTGTTTACGAATATCAAAGTTGAAAAAGTAAAGAGAAAAGATATGTAAATTTGATCACAGGCACCTGACGTTACCTATTTTTCTTTTAATAAAACAAATACACCCCACAATCTAACAATAAACTTTTAGTATTAGGTAGGGGATTAATTTTTTTATTAAAAGAAATACAAGTAACGTCAGATGCCTGTGAATTTTATATATAATGTTTTTTTTAAGTTTAAATGTTTCTAACATTTGTAAAATACTAGCACTTGTATATTCCGTAAAAGGACAATCTTTAAATTATGGATATGAAATCTATAATACGATATTGGTATAAAGGTATAAACGGCTAAGAATTTATTTATTCATTTCTTGTTAGATCTATTATGTCAATAAAAATTCTGAGAAGGGGTTTGGGGGATTATGGTACACAATCCATAAGTCACATTTGCCTTTGATAAAAACACAGTAAGCTGCCTGGTTTCTTGAAATAAGTTGGGAAAGACAGTTCATAACAAACAGATCATGTCCCTTGATTAATTTACACAATACAGGCGCAAAAATCAAACTTTATAAACATAAATTAAAAGATATTGAACACAGTGAGAAATTACTCTCAAAAGGTCTTCACAGAAATTGTTTACAATTCATATGTCATTCAACATTTAACATACATGTACATATCATTAAAATTAATGTTTCTAAAAAGGATAGAAAAATGAAAAAGGAAAGGAAAAGGACTTAAGTTTAATTTCTTCGCATAGATCTGTATCGATGGTCAATTATTTCGTTAATTTGTTGTTCATATTGCACTAAGATACTCCTCATTTCAGAGGAATATGGATCATAGTCTGTCACATTCTTCCAAGGTCGTTTAAACCGTCCATTCATATTTTGATAAACGCACATCAATTCCTTTTCTGATATGTGTATTTGTAGAAAGTTAAGTAAACGTTTGATTACGTTGATAGGGTCAGCTTTGAGCCGTTCGTATCTCAGGATGTGTAAATCACCGGTAAAGTTTAGCCAGTCCTTGGTCATATACAACCAGAGCCTCACCGAATCATTAAAGTATGGTATCCATTCTACAACCATAAAAGAATTATAAATATATGTAACTGGAAACATAGATCGTCTTTAAGTCAACATTTTTAAACTCATTTTTCCCTTTGGGAATTGATAATTGTTAATTAATTAGACACATGTATATGATGAAATTGGGCATTACGTATGCTGTAAATAAAGGACATTGGAATATGACCTACAGATGTATATTTTTATAACTTCTTTCAAATCTTGATTCGAGCATTCTCAAGTGGGATGAAAAGAAAACTTAATTAATTCTTTTAGTGCCAATGGTGAATTAAAGTACACTAACACCAAACTTTAAGGGGTTGACAAGCCCAAACAGAATACCAAACAAGAGGCCCATGGGCCACATCGCTCACCTGAGCACTAAGGGTAGGAAAAAGTAGAAAATGGCTTTTTATTGTAAAGTTTAAATCCAAAAGTAGTCCCATGACCAATCATGGATTTGCTATTTTTAGAAAATGATTTTTAAAGAATTTTCCTATATATATCTTTAAAAACTTTGGTCGGCCATTTTGGCCCCGCCCTACCCCCGGGGGTCATGATTTGAACAAATTTAAATATACACTACTTGAGCATGCTTCCATATAAATATGATGAATTATGGCTTTGTCATTCTTGAGAAGAAGATTTTTAAAGAATTTCCATATATATTTCTATGTAAAACTTTGGTCGGCTATTTTGGCCCCGCCCTACCCCCGGGGGTCATGATTTGAACAAATTTAAATCTACACTACTTGAGCATGCTTCCATATAAATATGATGAATTATGGCTTTGTCATTCTTGAGAAGAAGATTTTTAAAGAATTTCCCTATATATTTCTATGTAAAACTTTGGTCGGCTATTTTGGCCCCGCCCTACCCCCGGGGGTCATGATTTGAACAAACTTGAATCTACACTACCTGAGCATGCTTCCATATAAATATGATGAATTATGGCTTTGTCATTCTTGAGAAGAAGATTTTTAAAGAATTTTCCTATATATTTCTATGTAAAACTTTGGTCGGCCATTTTGGCCCCACCCTACCCCCAGGGGTCATGATTTGAACAAACTTGAATCTAATAAGATGAATTATGGCTTTGTCATTCTTGAGAAGAAGATTTTTAAAGAATTTTCCTATATATTTCTATGTAAAACTTTGGTCGGCCATTTTGGCCCCGCCCTACCCCGGGGGTCATGATTTGAACAAACTTGAATCTACACTACCTGAGCATGCTTCCATATATATACAATGAATTATGGCTTTGTCATTCTTGAGAAGAAGATTTTTAAAGAATTTTCCTATATATTTCTATGTAAAACTTTGGTCGGCCATTTTGGCCCTGCCCTACCCCTGGGGGTCATGATTTGAACAAACTTGAATCTACACTACCTGAGCATGCTTCCATATATATACGATGAATTATGGCTTTGTCATTCTTGAGAAGAAGATGTTTAAAGAATTTTCCTATATATTTCTATGTAAAACTTTGGTCGGCTGTTTTGGCCCCGCCCTACCCCCGGGGGTCATGATTTGAACAACCTTGAATCTACACTACCTGAGCATGCTTCCATATAAATATGATGAATTATAGCTTTGTCATTCTTGGAAAGAAGATTTTAAAAGAATTTTCCTATTTATTTCTATGTAAATCTTTGGTCGGCTATTTTGGCCCCGCCCTACCCCCGGGGGTCATGATTTGAACAAACTTGAATATACACTACCTGAGCATGCTCCCATATCAATATAATGAATTATGGCTTTGTCATTCTTGAGAAAAAGATTTTTAAAGAATTTTCCTATATATTTCTATGTAAAACTTTGGTCGGCCATTTGGCCCCGCCCTACCCCCGGGGGTCATGATTTGAACAAACTTGAATCTGCACTACCTAAGGATGTTTCCCCATAAGTTTCATCTTCCCTGGCACAGTGGTTCTTGAGAAGAAGATTTTTAAAATATGCCACCAAATTTTCATTAATTCCCAATTATCTTCCCTTGAATGAGGGCGTGGCCCTTCATTTGAACAAACTTGAATCCCCTTTACCCAAGGATACTTTGTGGCAAGTTTGGTTGAAATTGGCCCAGCGGTTCTTGAGAAGAAGTCGAAAATGTGAAAAGTTTACAGACAGACAGACAGACGGACAGACGGACGCCGGACAAAATGTGATCAGAAAAGCTCACTTGAGCCTTCGGCTCAGGTGAGCTAAAAACGTGTTTAAAACAGTGTTTTATTTCATACAATTTAAAGCTGCAACAACTCATCAAGATCTTTTCTGGCTTTTGTTCTTATAGATTTCATATCTTTATTGATTGCTTGGAATAACTGAAAAACGAAAATATGATTTGCTATGATTGCACGCCCATTAAATGATAAGTATTGTTTTTAATTACTATGGCCCATGCGTCGAAATACCAATTAACTAGGCAAAAAGAAATATTCGCCAGTGTATTCAAATAAACGAATTTAACACATTTTATCTCAGAAAAGTTCCTGTTTTAGTGTCGAGTTTCTTCATTTCATGTCTTTGCCAATTTTATGCACTATTTTGTCTGTACCGCAGTGGTATGTATGCTATCAATTTTGACAGTTTTCGATTTTTCAGTATTCCCTTGAAATTTCAGAGTAATACCTCTCAGCTCAGTAAAACTTACTTTGTTTGAAGTCTTCTATCTTTGCATGACCAATATGGCCACCGTTTTTTCTATTAAATTCTGCCAGCAGGGAATCTTTAGGATTTCGGAGGACTAAAATGGCCCTTTTATATTTCTTCCTCTCATTTACACCCCATTCATGTGTCTTAATGACCAGCACCGATGAGTTTTGCACGCCTTCTCCGGGAAATCCAAAAATCTTCAGAATATAGTCTCTGTAAACACTTCCGGTATTAATGCCTGTGAATCAAGAAAGTTGATCTTTTTTTCTCCCAAGTCAATGACTACAGATATATTTTTACCGACAAAGGAGTTGAAACAACATCATTTTCTGCATAAATTTATCATTTCAATGCCTTTAAACATTGCAAAAACTCTACTTCAGATGAAAAAAGTAAAAGCAAAATAAAAGTAAATCATAAATGCCTTTTTTTTTTTTACACTTTTAACATCTGGTTTAACAAAAACTTGAAATGTTTTTTTCTGTGTTCTTACCTGTAGCTTGCTGTAGTATGTGGCGGATCCATGTATTTCCAGATCCTGGGAAACTCACTAGAGCAGTCAGAGGTAAAGATTGTTTGGAGAAATGTGGAGTCTTACATTTCCAAGATTTAAAACCCAGATATGCCAGGTAAATGCGGCCTCTGTGGACAGCTTCAGATGGTGGTGTGTACGTAGATTTGGTCAGACTATATAACGCCAAGGCATTAAACAGCACAATGTAAGTAAAAGCCAGGCAGACGACAACCACAGACGTAAGTCGGATGCGCGTGCGAAAGCTCATACGTGGTCATCTACATCATGTACAAAACGTCACCTGAAAAGAATGGCACAGAATTTAACACATTCTTTCGCAGGCATCCTTTCGTTCCGAGACTTCTGACAATGCTCTTCCCTAGATGTTTCTAAGAATACAGCTCCCCTAGTTCGGCAATGAAGTTGATCATATCTTATCTAAAGAATTTATTCAACGGTTACCTCATCTTGCTATATTGATTACATGGCTAATGAAATATATCTTACTTGCATCTCTCTCCCCTTCCAATCATGTATTTTTTTTGCATTATCGTTCCTTCTGTTATCTCTGATGCAAACGAATTATCTTTAACACACCAACTATAACTAGATTACACAAATTATGCAAGTCTATAAACAAAACGAAAAAGATAACAACAACGAGCTAACTATAGATCTCTTTTTTATTATACTTCAATATCGATAGCTACTATATGAAGTACAATTTCATTGAGCCTTTTTGAAACATTAGTATTCAATCTTTCAAAGCAATATTTGTATAATAAGGATTTGTTTAAGGAATTTAAACATATTTGTATTGACTTTCTGGCACAAAAGTATCCATGCATGCTTCAGAAAAGACGTCATCTCTCAGTATCCGTGCATATGTTGCCAATATAAACTAGGAAGAATAAATAAAACAATGAGTTATATTTCAACTCCTTGTAGATGCATGATTAAATAGATAGCAGCTGGTCTCACTGAGAAACAAATATTAAATATAAATATTGCAAAACAATCAACATTTTTCTCGGATACCGTTTAATTTTATCCTGAATTCAAAGACAGATACCGGAACCCGACAGAACACAATCAATAGCAAATTACCTATATACGTATATGCTATTACATGTGTATTACAAAACATCTTGTATCGACACAGCCGATTTTGAATAACAACTGATGAGATATTAGAAGCTAGCAATCAATGATATTCTCTCTCATTGAAGAAATATGATTAAACCGCAACCGAAGAAGAAAGTATCCGGTTTGATGGGATTTAAATCACATGCGTTGGTAACAGAAAAGAGAAACTGGGTGCATAAAGTAAATTCTTTATCACATGCGTTGGGTTACAAATTGTTACTGGAATAGATAGGGAGTCAGGCGACATAGTATAACAGCTGGAGAAAAAAAAAAGAGAAATCTGGGAACTGGAAACGGGTCTCATAGTGAAACGGATTGCGCAGGTGTTTGATTAGACAGTGCTCACTGGTCTTCATTTGAAAACTATTGACACTTGTACTGCACCGTCAAAAAAAAAAGTAAAAGGATCCAGATTATAAAGGCTTCGAACATGCAATACTTTGATTAATACTAATATTTACCATGAATCAACACAATGTCGATTGCTTCACCAATTTTTTTTTCTATCAAAATAATTCTGTTCGATTAGGACATCAATGATATGTACGTGAAGATTGCTTGTTTACTGAAAAAAGGTCTAATGCCGATTTTAAAAATAAGAAAGATAAAAAACAGACTCTCATCGCTGAAATAAAGCAGTAATAAATATAAGTATTTTTAGACTTTTCAGAAGAAAATGCAACAAACTATAACAAATAACTGAGCAACAACTAAATAAATTGTAATTAGAAATGGCAAATAAAATGTGTTCAAACCAATAAAATGAAACTACAGTTGTCATCATTTAAAGAAAGAAATTATGGCAAAATAGCATATGCATTTCTTAAACTTCTACATCCCTATAAAAAATTAACAACCAAATCACAAAAAGCAATTCTCGAAAATAATGACTAAAAGCGATTCAAAATACAAATACCTATATTACACATAAAATTACCTCAAACGAGCACATTACTGTGTGGAAATTGTAAGATAAATGTATTCCAATACAGGGAAATATATCAAACTAAACATGTTTTAAGATATCGCAAATAATCACTCTACATCCCAGCCAGTATCTCCCACTGCATCCAACAACGCTAGTCATGTCAATATCATCTAGATATATACTGAATTTTCCACTGTGGAAAAAAGCAATGAAACTGACAGCAATAGTTTTTGTTTATTTCAAACACCAGAAATCAACACAATGTCAATTTAATCAATTTTTTTACTCAATGTGAAATCAAAAGATCAACATAAATTATGAACATAATATTCTTATTTGCTGAAAAAGGTTCTAATGCAGATTTTAAAGTTCTGATAACCAAAAAAAAACCCATGAACCTTGTTTAAAGTTTAATAAACATAGTTTTCAGACTTTTCTGTGTGGCAAACAACAAAATAAAACTTAGTAAAAATTATAAAACAAAAGATTGAAAATATTGGCAAAATTTAACACATGTTTCTTGTTTTACAATATTTTAAACAGCAAATACAAAAAGCAATTTCTCGAAAAAGGAAAAATATGGATCAAATTTTTTTATATCAACATAAAATATATTTTTAAACACATTCTATGTTCTAAGATAAATTTTTTCTACAGGTGATAATATATCAAAGTTACATGTTTTATAAGATATCGCAAATAATTACCCTACATCCCAGCCAATATCTCCCACTGCATCCAACAACGCTAGTCATGTCAATATCATCTAGATGTACTGAATTTTCCACTCCGGGAGTTTGAAGCTAATGAAACTGACAGCACTCTAGTTTTTGTTTCTTTCAAACAGGGCGGAGAACTTCTAGAGTTTGGCAATTAATCAATTTTTTAACTCAATGTGAAATCAAAAGATCAAGTAAATTATGAACATAATACCTGAATTGTATCGAGGTTCTCCCAGCGCTTAAGTTCTGATTGCACTGATGAACTTTATATCATGTTTTAAAAAAGTTATTGCGTTCTGTGTGGCGTAGATTTTTATCTTACAACAGCGATCTGAAACAAAGTGTTTGATTAATATTTACTAATAAACTTCTATATGTTTCTTGTTTTGCAATATTTCAACAGCAAATAGAAGCAAAGAAATATGTTTCTCTATTAAAGGAAAACATATGGATGACTGTTTTTTTTTTAAGTATAGTAACATATATTTTTAAAACATTCAAGTTATATGATTACTTTCTCTCTATGCTCCATTTAGTTACATGGTAAAAAAGTGAAATCTTGTTAAAGCTACCTTGTTTAGTTCTCATCAATATGAATCGCATACTAGTATTTGAACATTCAAAAACCCACATTGGCTTCTAATTTATGAATGGATATTTTTCCATTTAAAATTCACAAAAGATGTGTATTTGTTTATTCTCTTAAACACTAAATCATAAATGACACCCTTTTTGAATGCTTATAAAATGCTCATAATTTAATACCCGATAATTTGATGCTAATTCCCGTTTAAACTCATCATTTCGTAAGTTCTATGGTCGATACAATAACCATGTCAGCAAATATAATTTCTCATTAAGTCAAATGCTGACTGACTCTTTTCATACTGATTGTTATGCTTATATATTTACAAACTGAGTTGTCTATGGATTTTTTCCGGTTTGTTGTTTCTTACCCGAACATGACAATGAGCACACGAAAGTTTTACCTGTCGGCAGGGGATGCTCACATCTCCATTGCACCTGATCCCACCTCTGAAGTTTTGAAGGTTCGTGTTCGCTCCGCTCCTATTTTGTTATACTATTCGTTACCTCGACATATTGTGGAATTATTAACTCTAAAACGTGAACATTTAGAAACTTATTGATGCATCATTGTAAATATGTCTATCCAATTCAACAACAATAGCAAGGTACAGTTCCTTCACACTAAAAAAATTGCAGAAATAAACTGCGCACATTGTCTGCAACACTGAATGACACATGAAACCACCAGTCCAATTCAACACAAATAGCAAGGTACAGTTCCTCAATACTAAAAAAAAATACAGAAATAAACTATGCACATTGTCTGCAACACTGAATGACACATGAAACCACCAGTGATAAAACTCGAATTATTTGAAACTAAAACCCATATTTTGTTATACGCAATACAAAAACCTGAAAAAAATTATTCATTTGCGCCTGAATAGCAACAAAGAAAGAGAAAATCTACCAACCACATATAAATGAATTATTAAGCGATGAAATGTGGCTGTCCACCCATCTTTAGCTATCCGACATCCTTGACTTTCGATAAAACCTTGTATATAGAACCCTTTGTACAATGAAATTTATACTATTATCTTTCGGTCAAGTTAATGGCCTCTCGAACATAAGGTCATTACATACTAGAAGGTAAATTGCCCAAAAAGTTCACACTTCGATACAAAATCAACATTACATCTACAGTATATAATCCCTATAATGCAGAAAATAAATAGAGATGACTGTGGTCTCACCTCCTTACTTTGCTAATTCCCGCATGCATTTAGCCAATATAAAGCGGAAAGTGATAAACTACGTAACATTATACTTGTGATAAAAGTACCTCAAATCCATTTATTTATTATTTCTTAACGAGCTTAGGGCTGTTCCAATCTATAAACTTCCGCATCATGGATTTCTTGCATTGGTATCTATTCTACCATCATATACTATAGTAAAGGTACACATACGAATAATCAATTAAAAGTTATAATGATTGTTTTATCTTTGATTAATTTATCGACATTGTCTGAAATAAGGTGTAAATTGTTTTTTTAAAAGAAATTGAAACCAAAGGTGACGTTAATGACCTTGAAAGGACCTTATGCTAAAAATAGACTTTTGCCATAACTTTTACCATAGGATATAGAGAATACAATTTGCAATGCACAGCTTGTTGATCAAAGTCAGATGATTGAACTCCTTCACCGTTATTAAAAAAGTCTGAATGAATTATTAATTTATTTTCAATAATTGCTTAGAGATCCAACTGAATTGCATTACAAAGACAGCGATCAAGTTATTCACCGTTATTAAACAAAGTCTAAATGAATTATTAATTTATTATCAATGATTGCTTCGAGTGTATGTTATTCAGACCAGCACTCTTTAGCGTGATGTTCACCATGTATATTTGATATATGTATCGTATATATCTGCAAAACATTCAGTTTGCAGAGTACATTAAATATTTATATTAAAACCCAACTTTTTTTCACTGGAATCCGATTTCATGTTACACTTCACTAAAATCAATCTTAACTGCTTTTCAAATCATGTTTTGATATCAATGTTGTACATTTGTAAAGTGCATTATTTTTATAAATAACATTTCCAACAGCACTACTTTAAAGAATGCTTTTTCCAATTACATCAAACCTCCGGTTTTTGAATTCATATTTCCGTATTTAATAGGATATTTTTTATATAAAAAGGATTTTTTTTCGGAACAAAATACTTATTGGTATGTCCATGTTTAAAATAAAAATGAATGAATCGGAAATGTAAAGTTTTATATTTTCCCGAGCTTTAATTCTGATTGTTTCCCAGGAGAAGGTACATATTTTACATATTTTGCATTAAAATCTTTTTTATCTCAACTTGATTACACAGAGTAAATTTTCATATACAGGATGAAATTCTGTTTGTTTTGGTTAAAGTCAGGATAAGGAAATTTATTTAAACACACATTTAACAACACACACACACATTAAAAAAACACACTCACACACAAAATAAAACGAACTTTCAGGAATTTACAGATTTTTTAAAAACTGGTATAGATAATAGCTGGTCCCATGTAACTGAAATTTTGCCATATAAACGACTTTTTAATCTTAAATGTCTATAACGGAAAGGAGTAAGTACGTAAATTTTTTTGAAAAAGTCATTAATTCTTCAAAACAAGACAAAAGCTACTAGTCTTCTTTGTTGCTGTAAAAATAAAGAAAGAACCACATACCTTAGCTCTATATTCACCAAACATTGAATCAGTTCCTATCATAATTTGAATGTCCTGATTTCTTTCATGTGTAGTCCAAAGTTATCTATCTCTTTTTACAGTAACGCAGTATGTCGATTTATAATCTGACTCAGACTATGTTGAACCATACGCTTTGGACATTCTTTAGCTTTTGAACATATGTTGATGAATATTGTTATAGTGTGTTATTTCTCCCTCTAATTCTAATTTCCATGTATGTATTTGAAATTATTAGTGTTGTTGTTTCCCGCCTTTTGCATGTAAAACTCTTTTTAAAACATTTGTTTCCTTATACATTCAATTTTCCGTGCTGACTAAGACTTTATGGTCCATAGTTGTTCCTCCTTGCAGTTTATGTCAAATTGAAAAATCTTCATTAGATTAACTATCCTTGTTTCCCGGTCGGTCGGAAACCTTAAAACATACTTAAAAGGAGGGAAGACTTTTTAATAGTTTTTATTTCTCAGATAAAGATTTGTCAGTGGGCACTGATAATGAACCTGCATTGCAAATGCAACCAACTGCTGCTGTTGATACATGTATAAAGTTGCATTTTTGTCCCATGCTTTCGCAAAAGCGGGCTAGGGAACTTTAACTTTCATTCCTCTGTCAGTCTGTCCATCAAATCAAAGTACTGAAAGTACTGTTAGACGGAGGCTTCATGTATGAGAGAACACAAAAGAAATATATATGTCATACATTGCTGTAAAGAATATTATGAGAAATAATGTGTAGTTTTTTTCTCAATTCAACATTTTTTTCAAAGGATACTTCAATATTCATGAGGTTTTAGGGATATTATAATTTCATCTTTGTAATGTAAACTTCGCCTTGATTAAAGTTCACTGTCATTTAGATGAGATACTTTCAATATTAAACCTTTCAAAGTAAGAAACAGTAATTGACTAGGCCTGGTTGACATAAAACTTAGACGGGCTAACTTTTTATCCCAGTCTCACTTAAGGAATATATAGTGGAAAAGTGAGACTGAGATCAAAAGTGAGCTTGTCTAAGTTGTATGCCCCCAGGCCCGGTTTGATGAATGTAGGTTTAGTATGTTCTAGTCATGAGCCCAATAAAAGGGGCCCCTGGCCCCCTCCCTTTTGAGTCCAAAAAATACGCAATATTTGATAAATGAGTGTTTTAATTGTGGCTGTGGGCCCCTTCCCTGACCTCAAACTGGTCCCCCTATTTCAGAATTTCTGGATTCAGCACTAGACCTCAGCCTGTCAGGAGTCTCCATATTTCAAGATATCTTATTTATAGGTCACAGAGACCTACTGTTAACATAATTATGACATGTAACAGCTACCAAAATCAAAATTTCTCGGCCTTATTGTAATAATGTTATGATATGAGCTAACATGGAAAAAGAAGCAGCCAGGTAATTGGACATGAACAACATAATATAGTACAGTTTGTCTTAAACCTTTGTGATACAAAATGGGGTGACCTAGCTTGAAAGCAACACAGAATTTTCTTTAAGTAATACAACTTCATTAACATGCAATAAATGTTCGTGCCAGAACACAATTTTTTGAGTGGAATAAAATATACTTTCTTACTTTATGTAAACAGAACAATCAAGTTCATAAGACTTGCTATTTCACAAGTTTAAATTGTTTTTGGAGAACTGGAGTATTGCTTACAATAACAAAGATATATCTTGACAAATTTGACAACCAATATTTCTGGAATTATTAAATGTAGTATTTTATCATATACAGATTAACCCAAAAAATGTCTTTCTTTACTCGTATACCAGTGGAAATGGTTGTCCTTTTCAGTTTATCTGTTTAAAACAATCATGAACAATGAGACATGATTACAAATTACGTAGAGAAAAGTTATGAATATATAACTATGATTTCTGCTTTTCAGTTAAAACAATCACTTTACCAATGATGTAGGTTAAAAAAAAATTGACATGAATACCAATGATCAGAAATACATGTAATCTCCCTTACCAAAGTAAAATTATTGCAGCAATATTGCTGCTATATTGCGGCAACATTGCGGCAACACATTTTTGTTACCAGAAACAAGCTTTTTGGGTTAGTGAAATATCACCGCTAGCGGCAACAACTTCTGGTGACATTCCGGCAATACTGTGAGAAAAAATGAAATATCACCGCTAGCTGCAACAACTTCCGGTGACATTTACAATACTGCCAGAAAAAACTTTCTGGCAGTATTGTCAGAATGTCGCCAGAAAATCTAGGATTACCCATGAACCATTTGTTGAGCATGCTCAGTCATTTACTTCCTCTTTTTAAATAAAGTGGAGGGAATTCAAAGGCAAGCATGTTTTGCTCCATTACTGACTTGTATCAAGTTGATTAGAGTTGTTAATTGTGTACAGTGGGATTAGTCAAGATGAGTAGTAAGACTGCATTATGTGGAATGACTAGAAAAAAGAATTTAAGCAGAATTATAGGAATGTGTATACTCTAGCTGTTTCCATATCATCAGATAGTCAAAACCAATATTCTTTTTGAGATGTCAATGATTCAATGGAGATAAAAATTGGAAAAATTATATGTGTTTCAATTAGTGCTTGTGATGCATGCATACTAGACTTGTATGTCTATATATCCTAGAGTAGCAGGAAAAGATGAATTAAAGCATGTTATTTGAAAATAAATGCAGAGTTGCTGGACATTTTCACAGTGGCATATTAATATTGTTTCTATAAACATTTTTATACCTGTCTCGATAGATCGGGGGTACATATTGTTTTTGTCCTGTCTGTCTGTTTGTAAACTTGAACCTTCACCATTACTTTTGAACCAATGAGAGATAAAGATTTCATATTTGGTATGTCTACTCCACTAATTATGTTCTTTCAAATGACATCAAGGTCAATGACCTTGTGACCTTGACTGTGACCTATATGATAAAAATAGCTTTTTCGAATATTCGTCATAACTTAAAATTAATGAAAGATAGAGACTTTATATTTAGTATGCATAATTCACTAATTAAGCTTTTTCAAAAAACACCTGAAGCTGAATGACCTTGAGACCTTGGCTGTGACCCACATCCTTAAAATAGATTTTTTGAATCTTGGACATAAATCTTGAGCAATAAAAGATAGAGAACTTGTATTATGTATACACCCTTCATTAATTAACCTCTTTCAAATAACACCAAGGTCAATGACCTTGGGACCTTGACTGTGACCATATACTTAAAATAGATTTTTTGAAACTTCGACATAACTTTTGAGTCATAAAAGATGGAGAATTCATATTTGATGTGCACCCTTCACTAATTAAACTCTTTCAAGTAACACCAAGGTCAATGACAATTTGACCTTTACTGTGACCCCTATGCTAGAAATAGCCATTTTGATCCTCTGCCATAAATTTTGAACTATAAGAGATAGAGACTTCATATTTAGTATGCATACTCCACTTCAATTAAGTTCTTTCAAATGACACCAAGATCAATGATCTTGTGACCTTGACTGTGACCCATATGCTATAAATAGCTTTTTCAAACTTTATTGCCACAAGGCGCACAGTGTTTCACAAACATATCTTGATTTTCATTATGATGATCAATATAATTTTCTATCTGTTCAAAGAATAGCAGAAGTAGCTATTTCTTATTGACCCTGTGGCTTGCTATTGTTTAAATTGTTATATTCCTCAGCACAGTTTGTTAATTGTTAGATTGATAGATCATTATTTCCAATAAATACCAATTAATATCTTAACTTACATACGAAAAACGATATAGCCGCAATATTGTGGCAATAATGCCGGAAGATGTTGGCAGAAGATCAATATTTTGGTCATGATTTGCAGCAATATTGCCGCAACCCTTTTCTGGCAATATTGCCGCAAAACTAATTAACATACGAAAAACGATATAGCCGCAATATTGCGGCAATAATGCCGGAAGATGTTGCCAGAAGATCGATATTTGGGTCATGATTTGCAGCAATATTGCCGCAACCCTTTTGGCAATATTGCCGCAAAACTAATTTACATACGAAAAACGATATAGCCGCAATATTGCGGCAATGTATTGCCAGAATGTTGCTGCAATATTGCGGCAATAAAGCCAGAAGATGTTGCCAGAAGGTCAATATTTTGGTAAGGGCTTGTATATAAAAAATAATTAAAGTTTGGGATGTGAAAGAGGTAAAACACAAGTATCAAATGCAAATAAGGATCAACGATATGACAATAAGACAACTTATTTCAGAAGATATGATTTTTAATTATTAATTAGGATATTATGTGATAAATCATGTAAATCCTATGAACCAAGATTTGGGTTGTACCCAAGGATCAAACGTTACAAATGCATTTTGATCTCAATATCAGAGTTGCCGTTTGTTTCTCTCTTATCTAATGTGAGGGTACCCCAAACACTCAAACCGCTTGTGGAAAGTGTAAATTTATTTTCATGTGTTTCCTGAAATTATACATAATATCAAATAAACAATTCAAAACTAGACTGTTAATATTCCTACATATAAAAATACTATGCATTTGTTTATTCATCGATCCTTGTCAGATTAAAAAACTCCATGAAACCTATTGATGCAAGCGTCAAAAATCGGCCGCAAACCAATTTATCGGTCCTTTCAATAAGAAATTAGAAAAGGAATGAAAACGAGATTACAAACAACAATCAAGCACAAAAAAATTCCATTAAAACTGAAATGCTTGATCTATTATTAAAATATCTTATATTTATACCTGCGACATAAAACATTTGCATGCGACATAGCAGGATTTTCTTCAATACATAATACAGGTACATCTGCGTCTCCACACTTAGTTTGATACACAGGCGAATTCTGGTGGAAGTTTTTACAATTAAATATAAAACTAAAGTGTAAACTTATCTGTAACTAGAGATAGTTTTTACTTTAATAAAAGAAGCAATTGATAAGTGGGGATCACTCTCCGCGGATTTAACCCCCCCTCCCCCAACTCCCTCTAGATCCGCCACTTCATTTCTTCTCGTTCTTGTTTTGGTGTGAGAACCGGCGGGAAAAGCATATTGTAAAACATGCTTTATCATCGTCTGTTGGAACAAAATCTCCTAATATTCTGTATGATAAAAAATTAATTAGTAAATCACATTTTTTTTTACATATTCCGTAGGAAATGTATTTATATACACGTCATTTTAAAAAATATTAGACAAATCCTGTTTAATTAGAAAAAGTAGAACTGTTTGTTTATACTTGTATGTGAAAATCTTTGTTTTAGACTATGCCTATCCTTGGTCGGTGTAACGCAGAGTCGCTCTAAAAATAGAATTCTCAAGGTAATGAAAACAATTCCACCGATAGATGGTGCTTGGGAAATCTTTCCTGTTTACATTCCATGGGCAAGACAATCCCTATACACGGAGGCTGTCATACAGCCTCCGTCTAAAAAGAAATTTTAAAGTGGCCTTTAAAGGAGAAAGATAGGATTCTCATAATCAATATTTACATCATACCTGTAACAAAACGTTATAAAAAGACTTTGATATATTATATTATGATTTTATAACATGTGACCTTGATTTCAATTATTACATATTAAGAAATAACTGTACTTTGACCAAAGTCATCATTTTTACAAATTGCTTAAAAATTCAAAGAAATTACTTAAAAATACATACTTTTATTCCTTTTATAAACATATATAATGTATATGTAAGTTTGCATACAAAAAAAAAATACAATGTACAATAAAAATAAATAAAAAAAAAACTTATGTTGAATTTCTAATTCTAAATGAAGATCTGTATCGATGGTCAATCAATTCATTAATTTGTTGTTCATATTGCACTAAGACACTCCTCATTTCGGAGGAATATGGGTCATAATCTGTCACATTCTTCCAAGGTCGTTTAAACCGTCCATTCATATTTTGATAAACGCACATCAATTTCTTTTCTGATATGTGTATTTGTAGAAAGTTAAGTAAACTTTTGATTACGTTGATAGGGTCAGTTTTGAGCCGTTCGTATCTCAGGATGTGTAAATCTCCGGTAAAGTTTAGCCAGTCCTTGGTCATATACAACCAGTACCTCGCCGAATCATTGAAGTAAGGTATCCATTCTACAACAATGAAAAAGGATAACTGAATCATACATGTGCTTACTTTCAAACTAATAAATTGACAAACCTAGGAACCTTGATCTATAATTTTCTCTTTAAATTATAGTTAGACACATATATATAGTTATATAGGGCATTATGAACGTTGAAAAAAAGGATAGTGCATATGGTCTATAGATGTATATTTTTATATTTTATTCAAAATCTTGATACTTGTAGTTTCCAGTGAGATAAAATGAAAGGTTAATAACAATGTTCATTTTTCAAAACCATATGCTGCCTCTAGTTTCCTTATCTCAGCAAGATATTTTCTTGCATTTTTCCCATCAGTTTCATATTTTTATTGATTGCTTAGAATCGTTGAAGAACGAAAATATAATTTGTCATGATTGAACGCTATAAGCACACACCAATTCAATTAAGTATTGTTTTATTTACTATGGCCCGCATCAATGCCTCGAAATACAAATTAACTGGGCAAAAAGAAATATTCTCTGGTGTATTCAAATTATCGAACACGTTGTAACTCGGGAAAAGTCCTCTTGTAGTGTTAAGTTTCTTCACTTTCGTGTCCCTGCCAATTTTGTGCACTGTTTTTGTCTGTACCGTGGTGGCATGCATTCTAATATTAAAGTTCTCGATTTTCAGAATTCCCCTGGAATTTCAGAATAATACCTAGCTCTCATTTCACAAAAACTTACTTTGTTTGAAGTCTTCTTTCTTTGCATGACCAATGTGGCCTCCATTTTTTCTATTAAATTCCGCCAGCAGGGAATCTTTAGGATTTCGGAGGACTAAAATGGCCCTTTTATATTTCTTCCTCTCATTTACACCCCATTCATGTGTCTTAATGACCAGCACCGATGAGTTCTGCACGCCCTCTCCGGGAAATCCCAAAATCTTCAGAATATAATCTCTGTAAACACTTCCGGTGTTAATGCCTGTGAATCAAGAAAATTTCTCGAAATTTTATCAGTGTTAACGATGTCTAAATACTGACTAGCAATAAACTATTGACTATTAATTGACTTAATAAAAGATGCGGGTATTTAATTTTAAATTGCATCTGCCCTTTAACTCCCAATTTCCTTAACTTAATTTTAATTTGAATACTGTGAAATCACTTATATTCGAGGGGTTTAATTTTTGTTGTTTTCGAGGTGTGGAGAGACCCACAAATCATGACGATCACGAAATGTGAAATGTAATAAGCATTACTGCCCAACCAAGAAATCAAATCCCCACATATCAATATTTTTTCTCGAACCTCGAATCCCCGTGGGGATCCGGGTTAGAATAGGTCCTCAGTACCCCCTTGCTTGTCGTAAAAGGCAACTAAATGGGGCGGTCCTTCGGATGAGACCGTATAAACCGAGGCCCCGTGTCACAGCAGGTGTGGCACGATAAAGATCCCTCCCTGCTCAAAGGCCGTCAGTACCGAGCATAGGCCTAAATTTGCAGACCTTCACCGGCAATGGTGACGTCTCCATATCAGTAAAATATTCTGGAGAGGGACGTTAAACAGTATATAATCAATCAATCAATCGAATCTCGAAAATTTGCACCCACGAAAATATGTGATTTTACAGTAAATGGATCCACTAAAAATTATGTTTTTTTCTGTAGTCTTACCTGTAGCTTGCTGTAGTATGTGGCGGATCCATGTATTTCCAGATCCTGGGAAACTCACTAAAGCAGTCAGAGGTAAAGACTGTTTGGAGAAATGTGGAGTCTTACATTTCCAAGATTTAAAACCCAGATAAGCAAGGTAAATATGGGCTCGGTGGACAGCTGCAGATGATGGTGTGTACGTGGATTTGGTCAGACTGTACAACGCCAAGGCATTAAACAGCACAATATAAGTAAAAGCCAGGCAGACGACAACCGCAGATGTAAGTCGGAGGCGCGTGCGAAAGCTCATACGTGGTCATCTACGTCATCCAAGATACGTCACCTGAATTGAATGAAACAGTATTTAACACATTTCCAGCAGCTATCTCTAACTTCTATCAATATTCTTCCCTAGATTTTTCTTAGAATACTGTTTCCCCAGTTCCGTAATGTAAGTAAATCATATCTTATCTGAAGAATGTATTTAATGGATACTCATCATGTTATATTGATTACATGACGGATGAAATATACTTTACTTGCATCTCTCTCCTTTTCTAGTTATTGTATATATATATTTTGCAATTACACTTCCATCTGCTATCTCTGATGCAAACGAACAATCTTCAACACACCAACTATAATTAGATTACACAAACTATGTGAGTCTATGAACTTAACAAAACAAAGTATGCGAACTATAGGCTCCTATTTTACATCAATATTATTTCTTACATGTACAATGTATATTCATTGATGATTTATAGAGGACATCTCCACTGAGACATTTTAAAATATTATTTAATCTTCTGAAGCAATATTTGCAAGGAATTACTTTAACGTTCATCTAAAACGTATTTGTATTGACTTTCTGACGCAAAAGTATCGATGCATGCTTGAGAGAAAAAAGTACATCTTTCCAGTATCCTTGCATATGTTGCCAATTTGAACAAGGAATTATAAATAAAATATGTGTTTAATTTCATATCCGTGTAGATACATACAACGATAGCAGGGTATTATCACGAAAACAAATGAAATAGATACTGTATAACGAACAACACTCTTTTCAACATAATTGCTCATAAACGTGTTTTTTCCAATTTTGAAGATTGGGTTCAACAACAAATATTGGAACCCCGATGTAATAAAACCTACGAATAAATATACTGTAACATGTATATTGCAAAACACCCCGTATCGACTCGTCCGATAGCAATAATGAAGGACAACTGATGAGATATCAAAAGCTATGATTAATCAATGATATTCTCTCTTATAAAAGATAGTATCCAGTTTGATGTTAATTAACTGCTTCGTGGTAACGGAAATAATGTGAAACTAAATGCAAATATAGAAGAATAAGTATCATTCGATTTGGTCTTGAAGACAGATTTTCTACCGGAATAGACAGGGTGTCGGACTACACAGTGTAACAGCTGGTGTAAAGAACATAGAAAATAGTAAATTGAGAATTTTAATATACAATATTTATAAAAATTATTGACTTACTGTATTGTAAAAAACAGAATTCAGAGGTTATAGACTTAGAGATATGGAACATGCAATATATTTGATGAATAGGTATATTCACCAAAAATCAATACAATGTTGATTCAATGTGTGATTCATCCCGTTTCTGCATGTTTTCAAAAAAAAATTTGCTTCCCTCCCATATAACAAAAAAATCAGAGTCATACATAATTTTATAACCAGAAATGGAATTAATTTAATTTCAATGGCGAAGGTCACAAAAAATAACTTTACTCGCTATTTTTACTATCAAAATAAATCTGTTGATCATGGTGGCAATCATAACCATGAAAATGGTTTGTTTGCTTAAAACATACTGATGACAATTTAATTAGAAAAATAATAGAGTTAAAAACATAAGACTCTCTCAGCCAAAATAAAGCAGTAATTAAAACAAATCTTTTCATAGTTTTCAGGGGAAATGAAAAAAGATAATGTTAAATTTTAACAATTTGAAGGAAGAAGACATGACATGACATATCTTTCAGTTTTATATTTATGAAAAACTATTCTTAAAAACGAAATCATATTAAGCTTTTCTTAAACAAGATAACAGAAAAGCTACCCACATCTCACATAAAATTACCTGAAATAATATTACACCTGTGTTACTGCATACACAGTATCTGTGTTGAAGACATAGTATGAATTGTTTTCCAATGCAAGCATCTTCAAATCCAATTTAACATATTTTGCAGATAATTAGTCTCCATCCAACCCATTATCTCCCACTGCTACTAGTCATGTCAATATTATCTAGGTATCTGCTGAATTTTCCACTAAGGTAGTTTGAAGCTAATGAAACTGACAGTTCTCTAGTTTTTGTTTATTTCAAACAGGGCGGAGAACTCCTAGAGTTTGGCAATTAATCTTTTTTTTTTTACTCTATGTAAAATCAACAGATGCAGTAAATTATGAACAATTCTTTAATTGTATCGTCAACCCCAAAACGCCTAAAGTTCTGATTACACTGATGAACCTTACTAAATGTTTAATTAAAACAAAATCAAATTTCGTTCTGAGTGGCCTAGTTTTCTATCTTTCAACAGTGTAAGGGAAAGAAGTTAAGTGTATTTATGTATATAAAGGAATTTATGTGATCTAAATACGTAATAAATTGCATATTTTTCATCAGTTTCAGTATTTAAGAGCACATAATATTTTCTAATGCACCTCTTTATGTATCTTGTTTCATGATAATTCAACAGAAAATGGGAACTTATAATTAAAAACAAAAAGAAATGTGTTTCTCGGTGAAATCAGAACATTTAGATGGCAAGTTTTCGAAAGTTTAATTTTTTCATACTTTCATCGTTAGGGATAATTTTATATCTATACTTCTTATTAAAGAGCATTGTAGATACATTCAAAAATTTAATTTGGAAAATCCTCTTTTAAACCCAGGATCAGATGTGAATATTTTGGATTATTTGAACATTCAGAAACACTTTCTGATTCATCGTTGTAAAAATGGATCAACCAACTCATAAAAAAGCAAATTACAATTCAGTTCTCTCAGAAACAAAATATCAGAAATATAAACTGTGTATATTGTCTAGAACACTGAATGATACACGAAACCCTTTTTTAATACACCACTGATCAAATGCTTATTATTTGAAGCCAATATACATGTATATAGCAGAACTAGAAGAAAAACTTGTAAAACTTACTCATTTAAGCCTAGATATTTATGCACTCGCATAGCAACAGAGACACAAAAGAGAAAATCTACCCACCACATGTAAATGAATAATTAAGCAAGGAAATATGGCTGTCCATAAAAATCCATCTTTCAGGTATCCGACATTCTCTTCGTTCGATAAAACCTAAGTATAGAGAGCCACCTTATGTATATATACGCTGAAAGTGTATGCTGCTATCTACCGGTCAAGTTGATGGCCTGTCGAACATTGGGTCACTATATATACTAGAAGGTTAATTGCCGAAAAAGTTCACACACATCGATCCAAAGTCAACACATCATCTGGACTCCGCTTTATAACACAGAAGTAACAGAATAAGAGCAGCCTGTTTCACACTTCTTTACATTTTCCTGTATGCATTAAGCCAAGAAAAACCGGAAAATTTTGAACAGTACGAAACATTATACTTGCGATAAAAGTACCTTATTTAGATTCATTTATTGTTTTCTGATGAGCTTTAGGCTATTTCGGTCCTTAAGCTTCCGCTTCATATATTTCTTGCATTGGTATCTTTTATACCATCATGTACTAAATTAAAGGTACAAATATGGATAACCAATCAAAAGTAATGCTAGTAAGTAAGTTTTTATCTTGGATAATTCATCGGTTGCCATTGTCTTAAATGAGGAAGAAAAAAGTTAAACAACAAAACAAAAACAACCAAACACACAACACTCGCACACAAAATTAAATTATAAAAAATAATTATATTTAAAAAAATCCATACTTTTACCTATAGAAAAGACGGTTTGTTGACCATGCAATGCAGATGATTAACTCCCTCACTTTTGTGACACAGTATTTCCCAATGAGTGCTTAGAGATATAGAGGCTGCAACCCAACTGCAGAAAGTGCATTAAAGCTGTATGCTTTATATATGTCTAGAACTCTTTTGTGTGATTTCCACTATATTCATTTGATATACTTTAGTATGTATCGTATTATCATCGAAACATTCAGTCATGAATACATTAATTATTTATATCAGCTTTTTAAAACAAAATCGGAGTCCGATTTCCTGAAACACTTCATGCAAATCAATTTCAACTGCTTTTAAAATAATGTTTTAATATAAATTTGTTGCGACATGTTGGCAAAGTGAATTGTAAATTGCATTTCAAGCAACACTACTTGAAAGAATGATATTTTCGAATATATCTTACCTCCGTCTTTGAACTTACATTTGATGAATTGAAGCATCATTTTTATGCTTTATATATTTATCACTTGATTTTTTTAGACAGAAGTTTCGAGGCCCTCTGCTTGTTTCCCAGATAAAACAGGTAATATACAATTTTAATGCCAAACTAGTTAATTAGCTGGAACGAGGGAAAACATTAAACAATGTGAACAAATATACGTTTGATTCTTTGTGACCATTTGTGGAAATACATAGCTATTCTGTCTATTTTTAAACAAAACAAATTGACCCAAATTTGATATGCATTTCAAATTTTAAAAAAAATATCTTACTACTACAAAACAACTACAAACTCACGTTAACATTTCTTTTTTTTTTTTTAAACAAAAGATTATTAAATTTAAAAGATTTTTGCAAATTATTTTCAAGTACCTTGGAATTCCTATACGAGTGATACCTTATAATCCTCTACTGCTGTGTCAGATTAAATGAATGACAGATAAAACGATAAAGAAGGCGATAAAAAGGTGGCCATCCTGTGCTAAGAAGATCTGTACATGAATATGCACATTGATAAAAACACTTATCTTTATAACTCAGAAACGATACCAACTCTCTGGTATTTACAGAATTCGTGATCCGGCATCGATAAAAACGGGTCTTTTGTAACTCAATTTAAGGAGTTTCTGTTTCATAAATCACTGAATAATCTGTTTAAAGTCTAGAAAGGTGACGATTTACATTTAACTTTTGTGAAAATATTTATTTTATTCTCTTACACAAAACTACAACTGACAAAAAAAAAAAAAAGAACCACAAACCTTATGTCAGTATTCCAAAAGATATTGAAATATTTCCCATCATAGTGTGATTGTTGAGGTCTCATTCATGTATAGTCCAAGGTTTGATTGGTTTGACCGTAGAGAAGTCCAGTAGCTCACATTTGCATGTGTCACTGTGATAGATAATCTTACTTACTTGGAACCATGCGCTTTGTACTCTATGAACATGTATTGACATTCCCCGATTAAGTGTGTTACATTTCTCCCCCTCTATTTCCTGCCTCTAACGCTTGAGGGGATATCTTGATTATTTTTTTAGTGTTGTGGTTTCGGAATTCCTGTCTTTCACTTGTAAATGTTTCCCCCCTTTGCAATCATTTGCATCATTCTACAGTTACTATGCCTTGTTGATAAAGACTTTATTGAACAGATAGATTATCGTTTATATAAAAGAAAAGATTGTAAATCTTTCTGAGTATATTTATTATCCCTGTTTCCAGGTCAGAAAATTCGAAATGTAAAATTAAAGGGAAACAAACTTCGGAATGAAATTCTGGCTATGAGTGTGGCAGTATGTTATCAATTCTTGTTTACTGTTTACTAGTAAATTGCTACATACATCTAGATCTACTGAGATCATTTTAAAGTTTTTATTCTGACAAATTTCTATGTCCGAAACATAAGCAGTTCTCATGCTTGTTACCATTCATTAGGCGTCATATTTCTCACAATTCTTTGCCACAAATAAACATATCTCATTGCAAATAGTGAGTTTAACTTTGCAAAAATCGTAGACCTTTCTTTTTATGATTCTTCAATTGTATTTATCTGGGAAAGATACATGTACGTCTATGGGCATTAATAACGAACATGTATTGTGCTGACAGCCAACTTTTGCTAATAAATAGATACTAGTATATGATATAGTCGCATATTTTATCCCCTGCTTTTGGGAAAGATAGGAGACATTAAATCTTAATCGTCTGTCAGTCTGTCTGTTATAAAACAAATTAATCTTCGTCATTCACTTTTGAATGAGAAAAGATTGGACGTTTATATTTTTTTGTTCACATAACCTGTGATAAGTTATACATGTACCTATGTTCCAATGGTAAGGTATGAATTTTGATTGACCTTGAAGCTTGACCTACAAAAGTACTTATAAATTTAACATTTCTGTAATTCTGTTCGATATCTCCATATATTTCTTTACTTGCTTACTTAGTGCTCTTCATGCCAGATAACACACATGTAAAAGACAGTCACTTCCACCTTGTCCAGCCCTTTTTGTTCTTGCTTCTGCTGTCCTCCACGATAAGCCAATTTGTTTCGGTCCACTTCCTGCTATTCTTTATTTCTTGTCTTTGGCCTGTCTTTTATGTGACGTCTGCTGTCCAGCAATGCTTTCTCTGGTGATATCATGTTGATCTTCCTGAGCATTTAGCCGATCAATCTCCACTTCCTTCTAGCAATCTCCACAAAGATGTCTTCCGGTCCTCACATCTCTCTGTGGTCGTTGTCAGACACTACATTTGGCCATGAGATTCTAAATACTAGTATGGCATCAATGCATAAACAATCTTACTTTCCTAGTGATATCTTTCCAGTTTATCCTGATCAATAAAGTTATGCTGATTTTACGTTACTATTGAAGATCCTTAGCTTAGTTTGTTGTAAAAAGTATTACTTTTACTTTGGCTATAACTTCTGAATAACTTCTGAATAAGAGAAGATGCTTTGTTTATTATTGCACGTGCACATTACCCATGACAAAAAATTTCAAATGCAATATTTCTATACCTCGTGATCTTGAACTCGAAATTCATATTCATACTATACTTAGAGGATCTTTCTAAGTATAACGTATGAAATTTGACCCCATCGACTTACTAGTAACCTTGAAGATTGGCCTATATATATATATATATATATATATATATATATATATATATATATATATATATATATATATATATATATATATATATATATATATATATATATATATAAAAAAGTTATTTGTAAATAATTTGCCTCATTTTAGAAACTGTTCAAACTTAAAACATTCTCTTGCCATCGAAATGACGACTGAGAGACACAAACTCCATATGCAGTACCGATAATAATAGAATACTGCTATATAAAAAGGGAAACTGAGAATAGGAATCTTCAAGTTATCACATTTAGCATAGAGTGTAGTTCTTAGTTTGCTATTCGGTATGGAACAGCTATGACAGACTTTGTCGATCTCAAGTCTATGTTTAAAGGAACATATAAAGTCAACATATGAATAAAATGAATAAAAACTAATGTGATCATTAATAAAACGTCCTCGATTTATTTAAATGTTGATATATCTAAAAGGCCGCAGAAAGAGACTTCTCCTTTTGCTGTAGAAGTTTTCGAATAAATCATACTCGAAATACATCTGCTAATACTGAGTGAAAATATTCCAAAGAACATATTTAAAAAACTACTGAGTAACGGGGCACAATTAGTATTCATGAAAATAGCTTGACAGACTGTTGGATGACATGATTTCCAAAAAACATATAGATATTGTCAATCAGAAACTCGAGCATCTTTTAAATGTCATTTAGGAGTACTTGTATATATATAAAAGCTATAATTAAGAGTTAACTACTAGACAGTATTCTCGTCTTAAAATCTTTGAGTATGTATTATCATCTCGTGGCGTTGAGCAAATATCTAGACAAAACTCGTTTTCTGATTTGAACATATTTTATTGTTTAGGTGTTACAACAAAAGGATTGCACACAACTCGTTTTCTACCCTGAACGACGAGGTAGTACCTTTAAGATATTGTTGCTCCTGGTGTTTGACCTTCTCTAACCATCTATTTTATGAGTGTTTCAGAAAATATTTTTCAAATGTTCATGATGAACTCTTGAAGGTCATCTTCTATATGTTATTAATTGTACACAATTTCTAAGAGATAGAGATATTCAAATGCTTTAACCTAGCAAACATAAGGTTAAAAAGAATGTTTTGTTTTAATGGTATGATAAGAACTTTCTTATCTGTGGCATGATTATAAAGAATGACTCTACCTTTTTAACCTTACTTAAATACGAATGTTCTCTCTCTTATTTTCAAAAATTTTTCAGTAGTTTTACATTTGTAGAAACCGTTTTCTCATACAAAGGGGATTGGCTTTTGAAAATTTGTTTTCAAAAAGCTTTCCATTGACCTAAATTGTAAAGATGTCATTTTTTTTAAAATTTGGGCACATGTTTATAAAAATAGTAAAAAAGAAATTAAACCAAGATGATTAGCTCTTCAACTGTGCTAGTCAAGGGTTTTGATGAAATTCCAAATCTTAAATTTTTGAACATGATTTACATGTAAATAAAATTAGAACATAAGGAAATAACGACAAAATACTTCTAAACGCTTCACCTCTGCTTGCCAAGGGTTTTCGATGCGATATCCACTCGGATC